CGTGCCCGGCCCAAAGCCCAGCAACAGCCCGAGGCTCGACCAGCCGGAACAACCGCTCGACTTCACCACCACCTCGAAGAAACTGAAGACCAGCTGCGGCGCGGCCAGGCTCGGCCTCGGAAACAACGCGGACCACGGTCTCCAGCAGCAGCAGCAACAGCACCAGCAGCAATTCGCGATCCGGTTGGCAACGGAAAGGACCATCCCGCACGAAGACAGACCGTCCAGTCACGCCAGCAGCAGCGACTTCGTCACGGGAATCGGCTCGCCGTCTCCGCTGCCCCAGCAGCCGATCAGGGACGAGGAAGGAATGTGGAGGCCTTGGTGAATCGTGATCCGTGAAACTGTGAGCCTGTGAACAGTGATCAACGGTAATGGGTTTAAGATTCGTTCGACGGACGCGGGGAGAGTTTGCAACTTTTGATCGGCCGAAGCGTCGACGACTCTCGAACCTCCCGACTCGAACCTTTGCGACGTCCGAACACGGGAATCTGCCGGGACCTTTTCGAGCTGTTGCGAGCTACCCCTATCGAGACGTTGCACAATGCAATCCGCGAGAGTGCATCGCGCATAGCACGTTATCCTGCTGTCGTGTACATAGTCCCTCGACGAGTATAGATTTATTTTGATGTTAACTAGGTGTATACGCGTGCGAGACAGTGCGAAGGGAATGGTTAAGACACCGAACACGTGGAGAGTTTGTATGGGAGAGACACGTGCGTAACGCGAAACTCGAATTCCTCGTTCGACGTACTTAGATTCATTGAATATATTATAAATATATGTAATATATCCAATAAATTAATATATTTATAATATATTACAAATATCTGTAATATAGGTGTATGTGTACATACCGATCCCGTTACATTTTTCTCGGTTGCACCGCTGCCTTCTGGCCTCGTCCCTCTCCTGTGTTCCGCCGGGACAGCCGGATTCGTTTTCAGGATCTTTTCTTCGCGTTGTCAGGACCGCGTGCACCCGGACCGAGCGCGCGACGCGAGCTGCGTTCGCGAGCTGCGTTAGCGAAGGGCGCAACGGGGAATTAGGGAAAATGTACAAAACGTTCCATTAATTTATTACTTCTTCGTTCCGTTGTACGACACCCGGTCACGGCGAAGGCTTTAGAGCAAACTGGAAAATAATTGTATAAAATGAACTGAACTAGAGATGTCTTTGATTCAACCCGCCACGAGCTTCCCGCTAGCAGCGCGCAACCATTCTTGGATTGATGCTGATGGTCGAACCGGTGCTGCTGCTGCCGCTGATGATGATGATAATCGATTCACGACCGACGCCGGCATCAGAAAGGTATGTGATAATAGTAACAACAGTAATAGCAGTTCCGACTTTACTCTCTCCGAACGGCAAAGCCTGACCTCCCCGAACCTTGTAGCTGTTTTACAGCAGTTTAACCACCTGTTACGTCGAGACAACCACCGAACTTTCGCGCTTTTCTTTTTACGAAACACGCGAGTATTCTCGGCGCCACTCACTCTTTAGTCCCTCTCGCCTCTTCTATCGTATTCCGTCGCTATTCAATCCTATGCCCTGATCAAATCTCTAGTCTCACCGTGTACGTTTCTATCGGCGATTCATCACTGGGCGCGCTTGTACGCGCTACGTTGTTTGCGGACACTTTGGCAAAGGTAGATTCAGGGTGCACTTACGAGGGAATCTATTACTGTAGCAGTGGAATCGAGTAGTTTTTCTATATTTTCTTGTTTTGGTTTTTTAGGATTTTTTATCGTTTTTGTCGGAACTTAGCAGGGTACTCTCGGGTGAGATGACCTAATCTCGTTTACGTTATCAAATATCTATGCTTTTAAATGTCGTATATTGAACCTTGCACATAGGCCCGTCTAGCCTCTCTCGCCTTATGATTTCTTCATCAACTCTGATCGATACGACTACTTTGTCAATAATAATTCATTGGAAAATGAGAAAAGTTGCAGGTACATTATATGTTTATGTGTTTGCTCTTAAGTATGATAATTGATTACGGAAGAATAATATTTACTTTGAACTCGAACGAGTCGAGTAATATTTATGTCTGTTAAATCATGTTGAAAATCTTCACGAGTCTGACACGTTGTTATAAGGCAAGGGGTTAACTATCCTTATATATTAAATATTATATTTACTTTTAAAAATGTTATTTTCTTTCATTACATATCAATGACATTTGTGGTGTGATCGTTCTTTTAACAAAAGTGGGTTTCCCTTTGGATTTACTCCACCTGTAATCCCAGCGTAAACTAAACTTTAACAAATATTTTTATTTTTTTTAGATTTTTTTGATGATTATTATAACATTAATTTAATAGTGATTTAACAATGAAACCGCGATTCATTAAAAATGGATTACAAAATTGTTCGTTTTTCTAGTTTCCAAATGTATCTTTGTACCTGTAAAACAAACGAACATTTCTAAGTAATAATTTCCTAAGAAACACAATATCAAAAATTAGTCGATTTTACTGCTATAACAGGAGATTCCCCCCTTAACGGACTACTCCCATTTTCAGCGGCAGCTTTTATGTTTATTTTGCAATTTCACATCTGAACATTACTTTTTGTTGATATTTTATACGATATATTTACGAATGTTTAAACTATATGATATATATTTTTTCAAAATGAAAGTACATATAATTATAGGAATTACGTGACATTTAAGAAAGTCGTGATAAAAAGTTGGAATAAGGTTGACACGAATCCGGTCGTTTGTGCTGAACTGTGATTATCTTTGATATGTGAAAAACATGACGGCAATATGAATTTCAAGTTTTGATTTTTTAAATTCTTTGTTCTGGTTTTAACATAATAAGAAACGAGAAGATTCTAAGATTTCTTAGAGGTCGCGATACCAACTATAGCGACAATTCTGCTATAAAACCATCAAGCACGTAAAAAAATATGATTTCGTGGAAAACACGTTTAAAGTTTCAAGGGGTCGTTACCAAGCCTGTGACCGCTACAAACAAAAGAATCTTCAGTTTCACTATTTTCCCGAAATTCATTATGAAATGTCAAAAACATACTTATAACTCTAATCGTACCACGTGTTTTTATAACGAATCACACCACGATGTGACTCTCAGTCACTTATGAGAATAAAAGGAATGATTAAAACGTTATTGTTTTTGTTTATAGGGCCCAAATTTTAAAAATAATCAAAAAATTTAAGTAAAACGTTCGAATGTGACTCAAAGTCACATCGTGATCCGATTAGGGTTAAGGAGTTATACTTTCGACACGACAAATAAAGAAGAATCGGCTTTTTGATCGCTCACACTAGGATACTCCGTTAACCGTACTACAGTCTCCAATTTTTCTGTAAATTTGAAATATTATTGAAAAAATAGAAACACATAGTAGAATATTCAATGTTTTTAAGGTATTAAAAAAAATTGAAACCAGTCGTTTTGACTTTAGTTCTAGTGTTAAAATTCTGCGTTTTCTTTTGTTCGTTTAATTTCATACCAATTCCTATATTGTCCGATTAATTGGTTTTTCAATTTTCATCCTTCCTTTTGTTTCTGTTTTCACTGAGAAAAATTTATCATCTAATTTGTCAACTCTATTTTGTAGCCAGTTTTTTGGCTAATTACGGTAGGAAAAGTGTCCGTACAGTTAGTGTTAAAGTAAGTAGACAACTAAATAATAGTGGAACATAAGAACTGTGATATGAAATCATTAACACGTTAAGCGCTACGAGAATCGTGAACTTTTCGAACTTTACACAACACTTATTTGCTCGTAGCAAGGATAAATAGGAATAATTATTAATTATTTGCCATCAGAATCCTTACATTACACTATTGTTCACTTATTTACGTTATTGAATATTTTTAGTCGTCAGCAGTCATCTTGCATGTTGTAATTTTTTTCAAGCAATTCGGAAGCGTCGATCATCGGTAAGCGACACGACATTTAACGCGTTAATAATCATTTCTAATGGCATTTGTCTTTGCTATACAAGAATAAGTAATATTATATAAAACGCTCGGAATTCTCGTGACAGTCAACGTGTTAACTCGAAATGCCGAGGGTCAACAATTCGGAAAAGTTTTATGCCGGGTCATATTTGACCCATATCTAATCTTTTATTATTTTAGCATTAATGTGATTCCTTTATTGCATAATAATTTGTTTCAACAGAATATAAATGAACAAACGAATATGAGTATATTAAGTAAAATGCAAGTAGAAAATATTTATGTCCATGGCATATATAGGGTGTTCCATTTTAATTTATAACTGTAATAATTTCCGAAACTATTTGTTACTTAAAAAATGTCTCAAATGCAATTTTTATCTGTTGATTTTCACCAATAAGAGTAATAACACGATAATTAAAAAGTAATTTATTACTTTCTAAAAACACAAAGTTGAAACAAGTACTTTTTATACATTTTTCTAGAAAATCGGTAAATTATTATTAGGTCCTGATACGCCGAATGAAATTTCTAACATAAGTCATTTTTCAAAACAGTTGTCAATGTCACTTTTCTGTTATATTCAATTTAATTTTTGGCGTCGAAAGTAATAATTAAGAAACGAACCTTTGCAGAAACGTTCTTTACATCGCACTTTGTATTTTTTCCCGCAAAAAGCAACTTTTGACAAATTTTGTAACAAAGGCACTTCTTCCAGACGCCCATTCAATAATAGAAAAACCATTCAATGTCATTTCAAGATCTCTTTGTTCTCCTAACGGCACGGTTCTCTCGTGTTTTTTCTTGCTACTTCATTACTGTCTAACTCTTAAGTCACTCTCGCACTTTTCTACTGTTACCGTTGGCAGAAAGCGACACAGGTAAACATTTTTCTCGATTGCTATTGAACTTACCATTTATTTTTTCTTTTATAAACGAGTGGCTTAAAATAACACTGAGCTGGAATCAAATTTCCCATTTCTGAGTTCTCAAGGGAAAGAACTGTGAATGTTATTATGTTATAAAAAGTGAACGTTATTAACACGTTGAATGACATTGGGGTTACCGGTGGCCCCCACTAAAATCGAATTACTATAATGATTCCTATGAAGAAGCATTTCTATGTTATAAATAATGCTGCCTAATCTGGTGACATTTAACAAGATAAATTTGTAATAATAATAACTCGTTTCAATTAAATAATTTAATATTACCTATATTCTTATTATTTTGTGCATTTTACTCTGTGCATCGTTCGGCATCCAACGTGTTAATAATATCAACAATGTAATGAAAATATTATAATAATATTAACGATGTAGTATCAATGTAATATAAACAATGTTAATAATTATTAGTATCAGTATTTGCAATATTGGTATTTAATACTAGAACTACAGCATCTTCAAAATGGTGGGTTTTAGTTTTCTTATTTCGCCACTATTGATACCTTAAAACAGTTAAATATACACACGAAGTGATTTTAAAAATAAATAGCTTCATATGAGTACTGTAATAAGTACACGATGAAATAAAAAACGATACATTGTTATAATTTTTATAAGAATTACATATTAATCATACTAAGTACTCGATAGTTCTAGTGTTAATTAGTCCAAGAATTTCACAAAAGCTTTTTTTTGGAGAACTCAAAAATAGGAGTTGGGTCACTATAATTCTGAGTCACTCGTGTAACCATGACTTTTATTAAAAGGTCTCGTGCTTCGTCAGATTAATACCTTAAATTTTTAAGAAACTCATATTAAATGTCCCTTCACAGTTTCTTCTTCTTACTTGTTTTAATTAGTATTCAACTGTTTTATACGTGTTCGAAGAACTCGTCTCGTTTACAGAATTGAATAATGAACATTAACTCTTTTCATGTTAACGTCGAGTATACTCGTCATGGAAAGATGGCAATTTGTTGTTTAATGACGACTATATTTGTCTTGAAGGAAAAATATTCTTTTTTGCTATTTCAAGTATAATTTAGGTAGAACAAGAAAGATATTCATAATTTCAATAAATTTTAGTATAATAACGAACTAAACGCAGCAATCAGGAAACAGTGAAATAGAATTTGTACATACAATGATAGATCGAATTATTCTAATTCGTAACTTCCACCGAGAATATCATTCTATTGTCTAAAAACAAATGAAAGTTTGAATTTCTATTTCTCCTTTTCTAAATGTATAATATAAAAATATTTTTAATTCAAAGTATTTGTTATTTGTTCGCTTATGAATTAATCACACTTTCAATTCTATAAATAGTATTAGTGAATCTTTAAACAATAAAAACATAACTTTTGTTAAACATTTTTTTAAATTAACATTTGTTTTAATTCTACTTGTACTTCTATACTTTATTTTAATTTTGCGACAAGTGCATTTACTCTGTTTTTGTCGAATAGAATACTTACAGATAATTAAGCACATAGATGCACACTTTCAAAATTAATTAAAACGTTTAAAAGATTAAAACTGCCTTTCTAGGGTATTACTTAGTTATGTATTAAAATTTATTGCATTAGGAAATTATTTTTCATTCCCATTAGAATTATTATTTAATTTTTTAATCGTTCGATAAAGAAAGCAACACCATAAACTCGCGGTGCCATCTATAGAGGAAGGTGTGACACTATTTAACTAAATTACAAACTTGGGATGCGTATTTACTTACAGACGCTATATATGTTATTGCATATTTTGTTTAGTATTTACTACGAAATTATTATTTATTTTTAATGTTTA